TGCCTAGGAGTGGGATTTTGGGGTCAAATGGGAGATCTACTTTGAGTCTTTTGAGGATTCTACTGTTTTCCAAAAGGGTTCCCCTCTCCACATCTGTGCCAGCATCTGCAATTTTCGGATTTTGTGATGTGGGCTTATCTGACTGGAGTTAGGTGATATCTCAGCGTGGGTTTGATTTGTATTTCTCTGACGATTAGGAACAATGAGCTTGTCTTTTAAATGTTTGTTAGCCATTTGTCTGTCTTCCTCAGAAAAGGTTCTGTTCATGTGTCTTGCCCAGTGATAGATGGGATTGTTAGCTCTTTTCTGTTGTTGAGTTCTCTTTAGATCCTAGTTATCAAGCCTTTGTCACATTGGTAATATGCAAATATCTTTTCCCATTCTAAAGGTTACTTTGATTATTGTGCCCCTAGTTATGTCCTTGTCAATTTCTTGCATCAGTTTTTTATAGTTTTCCTTGTAGAGATCTTTCACCTCCTTGATTAAATTTGTTTCTAGGTATTTTTTGGTAGCTATTTTAAATGAAATTGCTTTCTTGCTTTCTTTTTCTGCTAGTTCATTGTTGGTGTACCAAATGCTACTGATTTTTGTATGTTGATTTTGCATTCTACATGAAATATATATTAAGTCATCCTTAGAGAGAAATGAGGTACATACTGTAATGTGGATGAGCCTTGAAAACATGCTAAGTAAAAAAAGCCAGAAACAAAAGCCCACATATTATGTGACTCCATTTATAAAAGAAACATCCAGAATAGATAAATCAATACAGAATGCAAACAGGTGGTTACCTGGAGTGGGGGTAGAGGGCAGAGGAGGTTGGGATAGAGAGAAACTCCTTATGTTTTGGCACTAGATAGTGGTAGTGGTAGTGGTTGTGAATAAGTATGCCAGTTGCCACTGAATTGTTCATTTAAAAATGGCTAACTTTAGGTAGTATAAATTTCATATTAATTATTTTTTTAAAAAACTATGAGATACTACTATATAGGATCTCTATAAAGAGAGAGATCGTGTGCAGTTTACTGTGTTAAACTATTTTCTGTATATCCACCAGAATGGGTAAAATTAAGAAGACTGTTATTTCCAAGTGTGGATGAGGATATGGAGCACTGGAACCTAGTTCCTAGGGATTTAGACCATCACTTAACCCATGCCACCCTCTGATCCAGCTTTCCACTGCTAGCCATAGGCCAAAAAGAAGTAAATACATGGCCACCAAAAGATATGCACAGGGAAGTTCTTAGCAGCTTGTATTCATAATTGCTTAAAACCATAAACAATCTAAATGCCTAAACCTAAGTCAAAGTAGAATGGATAAATTGTGCTGCATTCACACACACAATACTACACAATAGAAACTGTAGTACACAATAAGAAACTGCTACTACACATCTAACAAGACAAATTTCACAGAAATAGTGTTGAGTGAAAGAAGCCAAACCCCCAAAGATTATGTGAAGTTCAAGAAGCAAAACTAATCTGTGGTGACAATTGTCGGAATAACCTTTGCTGGGTGTGGTTATCAGCAAGGGAGCTCATGAGAGTTGTCTGCAGTGCTGGAAGTAAATCTTCTTCCTCTTGATCTGAGTGGTGGTTACCCAGATGTATGCATATGTACAAAACAAAGTGTGTATTTAAGATTTGTGTACTTTATTATATTATACCTTTAAAAATTTTTTTAAAGTAGAAAAAGCAAAAGACAGTTATCAGAGCTGGTGTTCTTACAGAAAAGCAACAGATGAGAATGTTTGAGACATGTAAGGCCATAGAAAGCCTTGCCTTGATAGTGAAATAGCAGAAATTTGGAATCTGTTGTATAACTTAAGTAGTTTTCAGGAGAGAAATGATATAATGAAAGCATATCTTCAGAGAAATGGATCTTTGGAAATATGCCTGGTGGCCTGAAGGCTGGTGATAGGCCATGCCCTCGAATCTGAATTAGAGCAATGCTGTTGAAAACGGGAGCTCTGGAGGAATTGGTAAGTCTGGCAACTGGGTGAAGATAGCCAGCAGAGTACTGGGCAGAGATGTCTCAGGTTCCATGCTAGATGGCTGGAAAAACAGAGATAAAGCCAGGAAGAGAAATCAGTTCTGAAGTAAGGTGAGTGGTTTTTAAATGCTTTAATTTTGAAATAGTGGCAAAGCCCTCTTGGGACTAAAGAGAGCAGTCATGGCTGGTGATAGAAATGTGAAAAGTACCTGTACAGATAGATGAGATCCTTATAAGAAAGAGTATAACAGAGACATTTCAGAAGGCCACTCCTCAGAGAAAGGAGGGGGTAGTGACAGGAGAAGAGAAGACTGTAGCTGTGGTTAGAACCAGAATAAGAGAGTGTCACTTAAGCCAAAGAAGAGAGAGTGTGTGTGTGTGGGGGGGGGGGAATAAAGATGTAAAGGGGGAGAAAGTAAAAGAAGGAAGAGGAACGATTGAAATGGAATGGAGAGCAGGGAAAATTGAGGGACTGCAGCCTTGCAGAAGGCAGGCAGAAAGGGATCTGAAAGCAGAGGCAGAGGACTTAGCTGTGGCCTGCTGTGAGGAACTCAGGTGCCTGCAATTAGATCACAAGAATTTGTCAGCAGCTTCGGTGACTTACACTTGCAGTATTCTTTGTCCTCTGAGTAGGAACAGAGAGTCCCCTAGGATTAAGAATGAGTGTGGATAGGGAATCAAGGAATCCTTAGGTATTTGGTGTCATTACAGGTTCCAGTCATAATCCCGTTCTCTGTGAAAGGGATACAAAGGAAGTTTAATATTTCTGGAGATTCATTCTGTCAGTGGTACAATTCAGTAATGATTAAGTGCCAGAACAAGTAGATAGTGTTTGCATCTTGATTTTTGTCATTTTCTAGCTGCGTACTTTAGGCAATCTACATTCGTTCTCTGTGCTTCTGTTTCTTTGTCTGTTAAAGGGTGGTGATAATATCTACCTCATGTGTTGTTCTGGAGATTAAATGAGTTAATATAAGAAAAGTGCTTTGAACAGTATGTGACACGTAGCATGTGATAAATATTAGCTAAGATCACGGTGGAGCGCTATAGGAGTGCAGAAGGGAAAATACTAATAATTAGTAGAGGCTAGAGTTGGTGAAAAGGCTGTGTGGAGTAAGGATTGATGGGGGCACAATGCAGGGATAGAAAGGAAAGGAAAGGGGGGAAAGGAATTCTAAGCTGGGAAAACATTATAAATAAAGTCTTGAATCAGTAAACCTGTCCGCATTTCTAAGTGAATTACCTAATAAACTTGACGATGCCTGTTGGGGAGCAGTGGGAGATAAAGGATGATGAGTAACTGATAATTTGTTATAATAAAAGAAGTATGAGTTTGGAGCACCAGAGCTTTGATTGGGATTTTTATCCTGGCCCTGTGACTTTGGGCAAGTTTGTCCAATCTCTTAGGACCCCGGGTTTCCTCATCTGTAAAATGAAATGAACTGGATTTATAAAATCCCTCACAGCTCTGAAATCCTGTGCTTCTCACGTGGAAATGATTTCTCTGCTTACATTATGAAGCAAACTAGTTTGTGTGGGGCATCCTTGTGGTTCTGGCCTCACATTGGCCCATGCTGTGAATTGAGTGAGTGAGCAGGCCAGCCCACATACAGACGCTGTACGCAGCCTTGCAACACTTCATCACCACCACTGGAGAGGTCTGATGAGAGCAGGTGCATTTATGGAAGGAGCCCGTGGGTATTTCACTGTAAGTTATTTAGGGTTAACTATACTAGAGTTCTCTTGAGTATCCTTAAGTTTTATGATACTTGCCTTTAAGTGGACCCTGAGGACTATGTAGGCGGAGAAAGAACAATCTTTATCTTTTTAAAAAACTTTCCTGATTATCTCTGTGGCATTCTCAAAACTAAAGGGAAAAAGGCAGCACTATGAGCAAAGCCCTGAGACTTTGATAATAAACTCGCCAGCTCAGGTCCCTTTTTGAGTGTCACTGCACACTTCCACTTTTGATACCGGGATTCCTCCTTGTCACGGTGTATATTTAAAAACCCCAGATTACATGAACACAAATGGAAGTTGGCTTTTCAAACACCATACTTAGGAATCACTGGCTCTTGTATGGCATTACTTCATTTTTCTTTTCAGAAAGGAATTTTGGTCTCAACTCTGTGCTCATGGCCTCGGCATCCACATGCAGGCCTCTCTGCCCCCACCGTTCAGCTGCAGTGCTGCAGTGCTGTTGCATCAGGGCGGTTCTGGAAATTACACTCCCAGTAGCTTTTCCTCATTGCTAAGTAGGAGGCACTAGAACAGTACCTGCCCACTTCACATTTGTCCATGGCAGTAGCTTGATCCTTGAAGATACTTCTGGACTTTTATGCTAGATAGATTTTCCACAACTTGGTGAACTGAAAACTAACTTGAAATGGAAGAACTAAAGTATATGGAAGCTATTTTATCTGTGTTTTGTGCATCCAAAGTTTTGAAGGGTTTATTTTGTCTTCAGAAACTGAAATTTGAGAAGAGTGACAATTTATCCTTGTGTTGCCCTTGAAAGGAAAAGTATTCCTTTGGGGAGTGAGCTCTAGAAAAGGAAGGTGACTTGAGCTATTAGGACTCCAGAGCTAACATATGTCTGGAGGTAACATTAAGTATAACTTATTTGTGTAGAAGTTCCTTGAAGGGAGGGAATATATCTTTTTTGTTGATGTGGTTCCAACAGTGAATTGCATCAAAGTAAATACAATAAATATTAGCTATTTAGGAGACTCCTATTTTTTCATCTGTCTCACAGGTCATTCCCCTGAGGGGCAGTTATGAATATTACCCAGTTCATTCATGCCACAGATTTCTGAAAGGAAAAATAAAAATGTCCTGGAAGAAATTGTATATTGCAAAGGTTGTGAATAAAGGTTGAGAGTGAGATGGTTTAGTCTGGCCTCATTTTAGAGTAGTGATTGATTAATGCTGTCTGTGTTGCTGTTTCTTTCAGAGCTGACCTGTCCTGGACGCAGCATAACTAACGAAGCTGCTGCAGGATGAGAAGATGGCAGCACGGCTGCTCGCACCACCAGGCCCTGATAGTTTCAAGCCTTTCACCCCTGAGTCGCTGGCAAACATCGAGAGGCGCATTGCTGAAAGCAAGCTCAAGAAACCGCCAAAGGCTGATGGCAGTCATCGGGAGGACGATGAGGACAGCAAGCCCAAGCCAAACAGTGACCTGGAAGCAGGGAAGAGTTTGCCTTTCATCTACGGGGACATCCCCCAAGGCCTGGTTGCAGTTCCCCTGGAGGACTTAGACCCATACTATTTGACGCAGAAAGTGAGTTCAAGGAAGATCAGCAGCTGCAGATACCACTTTCCTAAGAGGCTTTGGGGAGATGGGGGAGAAAAAACTGTCTCTTTGCCAAAGTTTGGATAAGTAGTTAACCTTTTGTTTCAATTCTGGTTTGTGGGGATTATTTTCATTTAAATTGCTACTAAGGGTCATTTGTGGGTCTTGGCATTTGTGAACTCTATTAATAAGACTTCTGATTTTGGCTCTAGAACAGATCAGAACGAGGACATAAGTGAAATGGGACTGTTTTCCTAGAATCCAAAAAAGATGGGATAGTAAAAGATAGTACAGCCCTACAGAGTATCTCTCAAACACACATTCAAAATTATTCTATCTTTAAGTAAGAAAATAGTGTTACTATTGCAACATCAGAGAACCTTTTGATAATATGGTAGATTTGCTCTCATCTAGCCCCCTTTGTGACGTTAGAGCATTAGCTATCGGGGACAGGAATAGAATAAAGTAAACCAAACTGGGTCAATACAAGAGACGCCCAGTCATTGGCCTTGTTACTTAGGCGTTGGATTGATTCTTGGAGGAGAGTAGAGTCAGTTCTGTTACTCCTGCAAGTAGAGGGCACAGGTGGAAAAAAAAAAACCAATCTTCATTTGGCCAAAGAGTCTCAAACTTCTGAACAAATATTTAAGCAAATCTTAGTTTTTTCTTCATGATTGTCTTCTGAAACAAGGCAACAAATGGAGAAACAAAGCTTCCTGGGTGATCCACCAGTGAGTAATTAGTCATTGAATCCCGAGGATACAATTTTAGGGGACCACTCATGTGACAGATGTCATTTAAAGAATTAGATTGACAAGTTTTTCTCAAATGAGGGGGGAAATGGCTTGGTATAATTATATATTAATATTTACAAATATAAAGCTTAACTGCTTTTGTTAACAAACTGCCCTTCACTAAATTATCTTCCATTCTTTCGATTTTGTGAGAAAGTTCAGCTTTTTTGGCTTGATAATAGAACAGAAATAAGACAATAAGCCAGTAGATCTCCTGATTTAGCTATAATTGTGGAGGCATTTTTAGTTCAGAATGACAAAAGCAGTTAAGACATTGTCTACACAAAATGGTCCTTTACCCAGGTACTTCTGTTGTAGCTCAGAGCAGTGATAAGGAAAGGTGCAGCCAGCAGTCTGTATCTTCCACTGTGGAATCTGGAAAGCTTAAGGAACAAAACATGACAGTAGATGGGAAGTAAGAAATCTTGACTCTGTCTTAATTCACCATGTTTATTATTTACATTTTCCTTTTTAATAAATATATTTTCAAAACTACCATAAATAATTTATAGGGAAATAAATAAACGAAAAAAAAACCTTCTCAAAACTAATTCATGACTTTTAGCAAGTCACTCCATGTCATGGGCCTCATCTTTTTTTTTTTTTAACTCAAATGCAAATTGAATTTCATTTTATTAAGACTATTTTAATATATGAAAAATATATAGAGCAATTAACTGCAGAGTCAGTTTTCTTTTATATCCTTTCCCCCGGTTCCTGCCCTGTAGATCTCTCCTTTCCTTTCCCAGTGCCTCAGTTTGCAGGGGCCTGGCTTAGGAGTCAGGACTCTTCAAAGAGCAGGCTTTTGGCCCTGATGGGTGTCGTTCCTTAGATCAGCCAAATTGTTACTGAGCTCCATTAGGGGACTGGCTCTTCATGATGGAAACCCTGACTTTAGCCTTCGGCCTCATCATGAGGGTAAATTGTTAAGAATAACCTTAACTGTAATTTAGTTTGTAATCTTTTAAAAAAATTTTTGACATACCACTACCACTATACAGAAAAGTTCATAAAACATAAATGCATACCTTAATGATTACATACTAATACCATGTCAAGAAAGCATTGCTAGCACTTCAGAAGTGTTAATTGTACTTTTAAATGAAGGATTTTTTAGTTAATTAAAAATATTATGTTTGCTCAAGTTTACTTACAGATCTTCACTGGCATTACTAATACTTCTGTAGAAGTGGAAAAACTTCACCTCCATCCTGTTAGGGTCCCAGCTGGGTCTGGAATTAAATTGACATAATGTAGATTAACAGGAGAAAAGCGTAATACGTTCAAATCTTACATGATACAGGACCCTTCATAAGGAAATAAAGATCCAGAGAAGAAGCAGTTAGAGTTAGTAAGTTACTGAATTGGACAAAAAATAGTAAGTTGTAAGGAAGCAGCTAAATTACTTGAGGAGGCTTAAAAGAGATAATCTAACAAGGTCGATACAGATTCTCTCAGTCTTACCTCCTTGTCCTTTAAGATAAAGAGGCTGTCTTTCCTCTTAATACAGAGAGTTTCTTTCCCATGGCAATTTCATCTCCTGCTCTTAAGAAACAACAAGGTCAAAAAAAACAAGAAACAACAAGGTCAGAGTGATGTTTTTGCACATGCTGTTTTTCAAGTGTCTTTAACTTAAATAGTCAATATGCCAAAATAGTATATTTTAACCCTTTCGCTTCTAACTAACTAGGCCTTTTCTGGGCTAAATTAGCAAGGCCTCTTCTTCAAGGAAGCACACTGGGAATTAACCCACAAATCAAAAAATTAAGGGTAGAAATGACTTTAAGAGGACATTCCATTCTGTTTGTTTTTTAAGGGCTGCCTTAAATAGAATGTCTTTTCTTTCCTAAATGGTGCAAGTGGAATCCTTTATCTTTTCCTCATAGGTCTTGTTTTCTAACTGATTAATCATCTTTGTGACTCTCATAGAAACTTATTTCTCAGTTCCTTCCCTCTTTCTTTTCCAGAAGAGAGAACTAGTTTTCTATTAATAAAGTTCTGGTTTCATCCCATTGTGGATGTCACATTCCCAAAGGGACACAGAGCCCTAAAAAATTGCATATCACATTTTCTGGATATTGTTATTAATTCCAGCTGGAGAAGTCCTTGTTGGGTTCAGCCAATCTTTCCGGCTGGTCCCTGCAAACAACCTGGAATCATCCTCTCTGAATTGCCTCAACCCTCTTAATGCTACAACTTTACATTTTCTTTGCCTCTGAGTATTTTATTCTACTGCCTCCTTTCTTTGGCTTTCTTGTTTTTCAGCTGTTTGCTACACATAATTGAATTTCAGAACATATAAAATTTTTTAGTTTTTAAAATAGGTAATGTATTTACATGGTTAAAAATTTAGAACTATTTGATCACCTCTTTTATATCTGCCTACTTCCTGTCTCCCACTAAGGTAACTACTGATAGTAATATCTTCTAGAGTTTATGTATATGCAGGCAAACAAATTTTATTTTAAGGAACTTGAAACTCTTCTAAAAACCTTTGTTCTTGGTTTCTTTTCTACTGTTTCTTAAGCCTGTTGAAGTCTAAATTTTGTTCTTTGTTTTCCTTCCTTTATACTATGGAATCTTAAGTTTTAATCAGTGTCAATTCTCAATTCATTTCTTAAAACACTGTATTGGTGAAAGTGTTTCTTTATCTTAAATACAAACAGTACTCTCCGATGCTTAGTTTTTTGGAGTTTTTTTGTTTTTTTTTTTTTTTTGAGACAGAGCCTCAAGCTGTCACCCTGGATAGCATCACAGCTCACATCAACCACCACCTCCTGGGCTCAAATGATTCTCCTGCCTCTGCCTCCCAAGTAGCTAGGACTATAGGCGCCTGCCACAACGCTGTGCTATTTTTTGGTTGCAGCCATCATTGTTATTTGGTGGGCGTGGGCTGAATTCAAACCCGCCGGCTTGTATGTGGCTGGTGCCTTAGCCACTTGAGCCACAGATGCCAAGTACAAATGCTTAGTTTTAAGTTAATTTTGTTGAATTTTAAGTGGCCATATATATTCCTAATAATTATCCTAAGTAGGCAGCAAGCACATCTGTGGATTATGTTGAAAGAAGGCCTTCAGTGTTGACCCTTACCCCTTTCCCATTTCGACTGATAAATATATGTGTTCTTTTTATTTAATGGGTATACCCCCTTAAAAGAAAGTCCCATAAACAAAAATCCTGATTATAGAATTGATTGGTGTGTCTTTAAATAGGGTGGATTCCTGTTGATTAAAAAATCATATATGGGTGATAAACCATTTGTAGACAACCTGCTTCTGGGTCGGGGTTTCGTACATAGCAGAGCAGCTCCCTCACTGTGATCTAGTGAGAGTCAGCCCTCGACACAAGGGTTTGTAAAAGAAAAAAAATCATATATGGCTTTCCAAAGTTTACTTTACCTTCAAGTTTTCATATGCACTTTTTCCTGCAAAGTAGAATCCACTTAGAATCATATAAAATTATAATTTGGTAGCCTCAGACATCATCTAGTTCAGCCTCCTCATATTATACATTTTATGAGGTGAAACATATACTTTAATAGAACTGAGACTAGAACTAATGTTTCCTCACTCTTCATTATAACATATTTCTGGTTCCCCCTTTTCTACTTTTTCTTCACTAGTTAATCTTCAGCCTTAATTGGCTCAGTTCTTCTGAAGCTGAGAAAGCAAATATGCACCAGGGGTATCAAAATATGTAAACATATTTTAACAGGTATTATCTTTATATTATTTTTCAAAGTTGAATTGAATTACAGTAACGAAGCGTAGTATGACATTTGCTCAAAAGATGGTGTTAATCAAGTGAATGACAGTGATAGGCATGAATTGGATAACTTTTTCTCTTAAAATGTGGGAATACATTTTTTGGGCACCCTCTGTAGGTAGAAAGAAAAACAAGCTCCTTATATATTTACATCCCTAATAATCCATGTGGTTTATAGGACAGGTCCTAAAAGGAACAGTTCTTCTGGGGTCTAAAAACCTATATGGTGTTACTAAACTGAGCACTGTAGGCGACTGTAATGCCAAGTGTTTGGTATCTGAATATACGTAAACACGGTAAAGGTAGTGTATTACGTCATGACTTTATGGCAGCTATGACATTACATTGTGACCATGAGGTCACTAAGGGATAAGAATTTTTCAGCCCCATTATGATCTTATGGGACTTCTGTCAGTAATGCAGTCTGTC